CAAGGTCAGGTCAAGGGTACAAAATGCAAGTTTCTACAGTATCGGCCTTGCACCGTAGTTGCCGAAGAATAGACTGAGGCTGATTGCCCAAAACGTGTTCTTAGACTACCAAGACAATATTCGTTGCATACAATGTCATTCAAAGGTCAAGGTCAAGGTCAGGTCAGGTCAGGTCACCAAAACAAAATATAGAAAAGGGCATGTGCGACACATGTTTTATGGGTCATTTTTCTCATAGAATTCAATAGGCACACTCAATAAGTGATATGGACCACCTCTGGATGAATTTCAGGTCGAGGTCAGGTCAAGGTCAGGTCAAGTGAGGTCAAATTTTGAAGTTGGTTATTAAGACCTAAAAAAGGTGTCTATCTGATGCAGTTTTTCACGGCAAATCGAATGGTGCTATTTTTGTTCCCGTACGAGGTCTAGAACTTCCAAAAAATCATTTTTCAAAATTTTGTGTGTCGTGGCGTCATAAATTTTTGAACAACTCCCACATTTTTGAACCGATTCTTCTTAAAATTGGTATGTAGGTGCACATAGACCACTTCTCTGACCAGGGCTGCGGAGTCGGAGTCGGAGTCGGAGTCGGAGTCGGTCGGAGTCGACAGTTGTGACCGGAGTCGGAGTCGGAGTCGATTTTAGAAACCCGAGCCGGAGTCGGAGTCGGGAGTCGCCGAAAATCCATCGACTCCGCAGCCCTGTCTCTGACATATATTCCGGTTTTTTTCGATACACTCAAAATTTTGGATTTTATAATTATTTTCCCAAGAAGTCAGTTTTTGAAAAGAATTCGGACCAAAATCCAAACTTTTCAAAAAAAACGAGATAGCCATTTGATAGACAAAGTAGAATCACGTATAACCTTTTTTGTTACGTCTTGATTCGTTCAAAAATGAAGATGTTAGCGGCGTTTGAAATTTTGCCGTTTTTGAGGCGAAAATGGCGAACATGACGTCACTAAAACGTCAATTTCTCAAAAAAAAAAATTCGACGGATTTCGCTCAAATTTTCAGGGAACGTGTCAAATTAATGTCTGATAAGGTACTGAAAGTTTGACGTCGCTGGCGTAACGCGTTTAGAAGTTATTGGCGAAAAAACGGGAGGGGGAGGGGCAGATTCTGCCCCCCCCTAGCGGGGCGCGGGTTAAACATTCCTCATCGTTCAAACCTTGTCTCAAATTTCTCAAATATGTTTTTCAATAGAAAAATACAATTCTAAAGAAAAGTGTTTTAACTATTGATAACAAACCTTCGGTTACTCTAGTCGAAGGTATCTACATGAGGCAACTATTCTGTTTCTCATATCGAGACTTAAAGGGACCCTCCCACCTTAACATTAGATTTGAGTTGAGATAGCCAAAATGGGGTCCCTGGCTCACAATTACCGGTTTCGGCACTCACAACATCGAGAAGTGTCTTAAATCGGAAATATTGAATTTCAAAATTGCAGCATTTTGATTCAGAGGGGCTAATGCATAGGAATACCCCTCTGAATGTGTGACGTCAGCGCAGATATCTAACGATTTTTAAATGTTTGACTAAAACGTTTTGTAGCACGCGGTGGTATATGCTGCTTTGCGCGCAACAGGTGCCGCACTTTCAGCTGCCAAACTATTGCTTCCAAATAAAGTCGCTAGGAACAGCGGAGATCCCAAAAAGTAAACAAAAATAAAAGTCTAATATCTTGAAAACCGGTGAATATTTTTCGGTGAAATTTGGTAGATATTCGTTTTCGCTCTTTCTGAACCGAGCGACATCACTTTCATGCCAATTCATAAACTTTTTTGAAGGTGGGAGGGTCACTTTAAAGGGACTATCCCACCTTCTAAAAAGTACCGTTTAGGATTCGGAAATGTTACTCATGTACTCATATATTACTCATATTACTCATATGGTGACGAATTCTGCAAGTTTTTACGCGTTTTCATCTTGTACTTTTTGAGATATTGCGACTTTTATATTTCATTGTGACGTCATTTAGATCGGATCTGTGACGTAATGAAGGATTTACTTCCTGTCAATGTGGAGGGAAATTTGGCAGCAAATATATTTGCTCTCAAATATGGCGCGGCTCAGACAAAAGCAACAGTGTCTCTGATTGGCTTATTCGTAAATCAAGTGATACTTCACTTGATTGCGTGACAGGCGTTCAAAAGGCAAATGACGTCATCAGATTGCCGTTAATGGTTAAGAGATTGGGACTTGTACAGGAAACATTTTCAAATGAAGGGAACGAATTTCTTCAACACCACGAGGCTGTGGGGGTTGCGACCAAGATAGATAGTGGTTTCTGAGCCTCGCCGCAAACTTGGCTATCTCAACTCAAACCTAATGTAAAGGTGGGATAGTCCATTTAAGAAGCCGCCGGCAGCCGCTATGCCCCGGGGTACCTATGGGGCAAAAAATGCATAGGTTTAAAGTTTTGCCAATATCTCCCATATGTGAACGCCTTAGGAAATGAAACACAGTTGAAATAGCAGGCAATTTAATAAGGATTACTTTGGTATGAAAAGGATCTTTCCAACTTTAACGATCCAGCGCCGGCATCGTAAGAAGGTTATCCTTGTAGGGTGGTTACCACCCTACTACCCGACCACCCTACAAGGTCGACCTTGTAGGGTGGTCGACCTGCCCCCACTTTTCCCTAGGTATAGGTCCTGAGGGGTCATTAGCTATAATGTACATGTGCGGCTAGAACTTTGCACGCGCTACATTTTGGTGCCAAAATTTTGAAGATCGGACAATATTTAGTGGCACTTTTTCAGTTTACCGTTCTTTGACCTTGAATTTGACCTTGAAGGTCAAGGTTTAGGGGTGAATGGTTCGATTTTCGTGATCCTCATGGTCCAATTGACCTTGGACGAGGTTTTGGCTAAAATCGGTGCTCGTCGCTGGAAAAGTCGCTGGTGACGTAGCATTTTTAAAGTTCCCCGTCCTTTGACCTTGAATTTGACCTTGAAGTTTGACCTTGATGAAAATGGTTTTCGATGTGCGGCTAGAACTTTGCACGCGCTACATTTTTGTGCTAAAATTTTGAAGATCGGACAATATTTAGTGGTACTTTTTCAGTTCCCCCCGTCCTTTGACCTTGAATTTGACCTTGAAGTTTGACCTTGATGAAAATGGTTTTCGATGTGCGGCTAGAACTTTGCACGTGCTACATTTTGGGGCCAAAATTTTGAAAATCGGACAATATTTAGTGGCACTTTTTCAGTTCCCCGTCCTTTGACCTTGAATTTGACCTTGAAGGTCAAGGTTTAGGGGTGAATGGGTTCGATTTTCGTGATCCTCATGGTCCAATTGACCTTGGACGAGGTTTTGGCTAAAATCGGTGCTCGTCGCTGGAGAAGTCGCTGGCGACGTCGCCAACTTCACGGACATATAATGTACAGGGTCCGGCATAATTTTTGTCCTCTGAAGAGATGTGTTCGGTTAGTGGCTTTATAAGAGGCAGCGATTCCTTTTGGCGTCCAGTACATTTCCCACAAACAGGGAGGTACGCACGAACACAATTTGACATGCTGGCAGCCAGCTTGTGTAGCATTCCTTCAGAAGTCCGGCATGTTTTATTCGCACCACCGCTGGGCCTTGGCAGGGCAATGAGCCGGCGCACCGTCCTGAATGAAAATGCATGTCGACCTTCTATCGACCATGCGTTGACTTGGAAGTGAGCCGCTGGAGGCTCTTGTAGGTAATGAGCCTCAGAGAGCTCTTCCAATAGCGTTTCACGGTCCTATCCGAAGATGGAATAGCCCTTGCGCGTGAGCCGCTTAGCCAGTTTTGTCGCCAACTGGTCACTCTTCCCAGCCGTCTTTTCCAATGCGATTTGTTTCACGGTCGAAATGGTGAACGAACGCCCAAACTGGGACGATCGGCAGCGCTGCCAGCAGCCGTATGCTTGTCCCACCAACGCCGAACTGTGCAGGCAGATGTCCCAACTGATCAGCAATGGCGTGCTATGTCATTTCGACCTGGGGCATGCCGACTGTCTGGTTCAGCTCCCCAAGATAGAAATTTCAGACCTTCATTTTTCGACGCGGCCGTTCGGGTGGACAATCTGTGTAAAACTAGCCGTAGCTCGGTGATCCGTGGCCTGAGGTCCGTTCGCCACCTCATATCCCGCGGCCAAGGGCCGTGCAATGCAGGGGTGCAGCCAGAACCGTTATCCCTTGGAGGTAGAAATGATTAGGAACCGGGAAGTGTTGTCATAGGTAGAGGACAAATGTAGAATATCCAAGACAGTTAGGATAAATGATAACAATAACACGTCAAATGTATATTTAAACACACAAACCGTAGAGGACAAACCTTTTACCGGAACCTGGGGAATCGGATAATTGGAGACTAGCCTCACTGCACTTATTTACAGAAGGCTGGTGCTCAATAGTGAAAAGCACATGCCAAGTAACATTAGTTAACATTGGGCGGAGCGGAATAGTAGATACTTTTCAACTCGCAGGAAATTCAGAACGCTAAGAAACATGATCATTATGTCTACGGGAGGTATTTTTGGCTATTCCGCTATAGTAAAAAAGAAAAGAAAATCACTTCACAAGATTCGCTAGAGGCAGTCAAAACTCAAAAGTCTTTCTTTGCGATTTGCCTTACGGTGATATTTAGTATCCGACACATTCAACCGTGGCTCGTGAACTAAACTAAATAAAGCAAAACGGCAACTGGTGTTTCTTCCTTGGTCCATTCGTAAGTAATACTTTTGGCGATACCTTTATCCAAGCTGAGTTATGTGGGCTGGTCTGCAGTGATCAGAGCTAAAAGCACATGCACTTATTCCGCCAGCCTAAAATGAAGCTAACTACGAGCGGCTGCGGGCCTTTGTGGAGGTATATCATTTCATATGTGTCATGGTTATAGGTCCAATAACCGGTCCTGATTCAAACAACAGCAGTGCTTCAAGACCTGTATTTATTTCCTCGGCAGGCAAAACAGGTTGTCTTTGTCATGACATCCGTCTCCCATTTGAACTAAAACAGCAGGCATTCAGTTGTAGGAGGAAGACTGGGCCAGGGCAGCGCGCCGGTCGAACTCCATCTGGAAGACCCTCTTGGCCTGAGCCACCTCGTAGGTGTCCTGGACCGGCTGTGGGGCCTGGCCGAGGGTGTAGGCGGGACGGGGATGCTGCTGGTAGTACTGGGGCTGCTGCTGGTAGTACTGGGGCTGCGCAGTGTACTGGTAGGTGTCGGGGGCCAGTTCAGCCTCCCTGGCCAGCTTCTGGTACTCCTGCTGGAAGGCCCTCTTGGCCTCAGCCACCTCGTAGGTGTCCTGGACGGGCTGTGGTGCCTGGCCGAGGGTGTAGGCGGGACGGGGCTGCTGCTGGTAGTACTGGGGCTGCTGCTGGTAGTACTGGGGCTGCGCAGTGTACTGGTGGGTGTCGGGGGCCAGTTCAGCCTCCCTGGCCAGCTTCTGGTACTCCTGCTGGAAGGCCCTCTTGGCCTCAGCCACCTCGTAGGTGTCCTGGACGGGCTGTGGTGCCGCACTGACGGCCGCCCCGGCCTGGTAGGACGACACGGCGGGCGGCGGATGGTCGGCGGCGGCTCCCAGAACAGCCGCCGTCAGCAGGAGCTGCCGAGCGACGGGTGGCGTCAGCGATACCGGTGGCGCGGAGGTAGTTAGACATCGGGAGACATGTCAAAATGACAGGAATGAATGAATGAGCAATAAACATGGATGCTCTCAGTCATTGAACAGAAGCTTCATTTTGAACCTACGATACGGAAAAAATAATGGCCGTAAAAGGTCGTTTAGTAGTGGCTACTTTGAAGACAACTTACCACAGTCCGCATCATGATGTAGTGTAGGAGTGCAGACTGAAGCAGTGCCGCCGTGGATTGAACAAGTGGTGTCCATCTGATGACTCGGTGCACCTTTATACCCGGACAGAGGACACGCCCGATTGGTATGTGTCTTTTCCTGCAGAGCTCTGCAAACCATTATCAATATAAAATTGGCTGCTCCAAAAGTACCGGTTGTCGAGACATTTGTCAATTGATGGGCAATGGGCATTGTTCAATGATCATGCCTTCGAAATGGAAGATCAGCTGCTTTGAAGTAACAGCTGTTCATTCAGTTAGAAGGTCAAGGCTGAGATGATTTGTAGCGGCACCATTGATGGCATAGTGATTGATTTTTCAAGTTCTGCACATATGTGTACAGGATGGCCGTTCGCTGCCTTCACCAGACTTATCGATGTCTAGATAGGCTGAGTGGAGTCGTGTACCGCCCACTATATCGGTCACCACCCATGCCGTTTCGCCCGGGATTTAGGCAGAGCTTCGCAGAGAAAATAAGCGTGTGTGCCTTGGTCAGGGGTGTAGGCGGTAGGTGCAGTTGTGCTGGTGGCTTGGGGCGGAGCGACTGCTCCCCGATTTTATGATATCAAGTCAACCGATGACCTCTTGAGTTCAGGGCAAAGAACCAAGAGTCGGATTTATTTGATGGTAAATAACTTTTAAAGAAATATGTATATGTATAGAAAAACATCTAGGGCACCGTCGCATTTTCCATGCCTGGCCAAGTAAGGATAAATTTGAATTGGAAAATGTCAACTTTGTGCTGACCTTTAAGTGACGTTCACGTCAACGGTCAAACATGTCAGACCAATGTGCTTGTCAAGGGAGCTAATGTGTATCATTCGATTGGAGGCTCGCTTTGAGACTAACTATTGGTGCCTTTTTAAAGTCGCTAACTCAATTCAATCGGGATCGATTCATGGAAAATTCGATGGCATCCAATGGCTTGCGTGACGTCAGTCGCGTCGCCGCGCAAAGACCACAATACCTACAATAAAAGTGTTGGACATTGCGTGTAGATTGTGGAGTATGAAGTAATTACTTAAAGTAACTGAGATCTTAACCCGCGCCCCACTGGGGTCTGCGTATAACGGGCCCTACTGGGGGGGCTCTTCATACCCCCCCCCCTCCTAACTCCAAAACTACTATTCCGATCGTCAAAATTCAAACGGCGTCTCATAGCCCCGGAAAACTGTCGAGCGGAACCTAATTTCATTGACCTCGAGGTTACCGAAGACGTCACAGGTCAGGTCAAAGTAAAAATTAAGTTGAAATTTTTCAACAAAAAGAAAGTATCTATCGGATGCAGTTTGAGATCAGGAACACGATGGTACTATTTATATTGGTGAACGATGTCAAATACGTACATAAAAATTGGTTTGAAAAATTTGTTATTGTTAATTTTTTGCTATAATGCGTAGAACCTAGCTATTTTTGAAGATATCCGGCTAAAACTTGCTAAAGTATAGCATGGGCATGTGTTCTATCACATACGCTCCAGTATTTCCGATGGTCAAAAACCTTTGGGAAAATATAAAAATATAAATTTTGAAATTTATTACCTATACCTATATATTTTTCAAAATTTGCAAAATTTTGAAAGTCCGAGATAGCAGTTTGATAGCACATTGTGTTCTTAGTCCTCTCATGCAAAGAAGTTGGATCTAGCTTAAAAATTAAGCTCTTGAGAGCAATTGCCGTAGTTCAATGTTTTGCTTCGAAATCGGCCGAACATGACGTCACTCTGACATCATTCCCGGTCGACCTGTGGTAGCTACGAAGTTCATATTTTGACACAAGGTGTCAAATTGATGCAGCCGAAGATGCTGAAAGTTTCGCACCGATATTTTTAGTGGCTTAGAAGTAATTGCAGAAAACTGAGAGGGGGCTGTGGATTGCCCCCCTGGCCCCTCCCCCTAGTGGGGCGCGGGTTAAAGGAAACAGTTCACTTTTAACATAGAGTTTTGAACTGGAATAGCAGTTTTGTAGCTGAGCTGAGACTAGCACAAATTAGAAGCTTTTATGATCACCCAACGATCACCTTAGACGAAGATATTCCATTTCTCGTTCCGAAAAGAGTGCCTTGCAGAGGAATGCCTACCATGCTGAGGAATGCAGCCACGTCATCGTCAGCCAATCAGCATGCTGCTTACAGCCAATGGGTTTATGCTACGCAATATGATTGGTCAACGCGTAATAATGCTTCCGCGTCAAACAATATTTTATATAGAGTATAGTTCTTCCTATATTAAAATATAGAAAATAATCTATTCTATAAAGAAGGTTTTATTTTCTTTGCTGATCATTTTGAGCATAAAACATCATAAATCCATTGCAAAAAACTCATTTCGGGAAAGTGAACTATTCCCTTGAAGCTATTCCCCTGAGGACCGTTCAGAGGTGCATCTGTGATGTCATAGGTCAGTGACCTGACCTGACCGGAAAATGCGGTTGGTACTTGGTGTCGCAAGATTCGGCTCGAATCAAAAGTGAGCTATGATAAGTTTCAGCTTCCTTTCATTGGCGTGTTCCGAGCTATCGCGAAAAAAAAAACACCTATTGACGGTTCCCCTCCCCTCGGCCGGCGAGGGTTAACCCTCGCCCGCACATGCCATTTTCCCATCCTAGAACGCACATGGGGGGTGGACCCCCGCGCCATTTCGTTCCTGTTGGAGATAGAGCTTAGCGGTAAAAACCAAAAAGATTCTTTGGGAAGAGACGGATCCAATGATACCCAGTTTTTCCTTCTCAGGTCAGTCATTGACCTTCCAGGTCAGGTCAAACTAAAAAATGTTGCTGTTTTTGGTCACCGTTGGATATCAAGTGCGCTGCCTAGCATATACCGATGACGATGCTGTTTTCTGGTGCCAAGCCAGCTAGAACCTCTTTGTCACACTACCCGACCAGATTTTTGCTGCTGAGGTCATTTCAGGTCAATTTAGGTCAAGGTCAATTATATGTGTTTGTATGTCTGTGTGTGTCTGTGTGTATACTGATGTGTGCACCGATTGTTTTTGTGTCCATATTACATGAAATCATGATCTGAGATGCTTTTACCAAAAATGCAGTCAAAAAACTTCACAAAAAGTAAATTCAGCTTGCCTAAAACGCAATTATCTTAGATGACCTAGGTTGACCTTGACCCTGACCTTGACACCTGTACATCGTCGAACAAAATGTTCCATGATAGGTGGGAGGTAAGACTGGCAAAAAAGGCCGAAATCAAGGTGTCAAAAGCTCACAAGGCCCATGGAAAACGCAAGATGTTGAGAATTGGCCATTTGGGTCATGACATGACCTGAAAAACAAGGTCATATCTCCGAAACCAAAAATCACAGAAGCTTGAAATTTTCAGTGGACATCAAGAAAGGATAGAGAAGCAGCTATACGAAAAATCAGCTTTCTAGCTCTAAAAATGTTGAGTGCAGAGCAGAAAGACTGCCTGGGGGGAGGGGTGGCAACCCCCCCCCCCCCCCATGTGCGGGCGAGGTTTAACCCGCGCCCCGCTGGGGGGGGGGGGCAGAATCTGCCCCTCCCGTTTTTCGCCAATAACTTCTAAACGCGTTACGCCAGCAACGTCAAACTTTCAGTATCTTATCATACATCAATTTGATACGTTCCCTGAAAATGTTAGCGAAATCCGTCGGAAAATGTATCAGAAAATATGACGTTTTAGTGACGTCATGTTCGTCATTTTCGCCTCAAAAACGGCAAAATTTCAAACGCCGCTAACATCTTCATTTTTTAGAAGAATCAAGACGTACCTAACAAAAAAGGTTATACGTGATACTACATTGTCTATCAAATGGCAATCTCGGTTTTTGGAAAATTTTGGATTTTGGCCCAAATCTTTAAAAAAAAACTGATTTTTTGGTAAAATAATTATAAAATCCAAAATTTTGATTGTATCGAAAAAAACTAAATATTTGTCAGAGAAGTGGTCTATATGCACCTACATTCCAATTTTTAGAAGAATCGGTTCAAAAATATGGGAATTATTCAAAATTTTATGACGTCACGAAACACAATTTTTTTTTTAAAATGATTTTTTTTTTTTGAAGCTCTAGACCTCGTACGGAAGCAAAAATAGCACCATTCGATTCGCCGTGAACAACTGCATCAGATAGACACCTTTTTAGGCCTTAACAACCAACTTCAAAATTTGACCTCACTTGACCTGACCTTGACCTGACCTCGACCTAAAATTCATCCAGAGGTGGTCCATATCACTTATTGAGTGTGCCTATTGAATTCTATGAATAAAATGACCCATAAAACATGTGTTGCACATGCCCTTTTCTATATTTTGTTTTTGGTAACCTGACCTGACCTTACCTGACCTTGAACTTTGAATGATATTGTGTGCAACGAATATTGTCTTGGTAGCCTAAGAACACGTTTTGGGCAATCAATCTCAGTCCGTTCTTCGGCAACTACGGTGCAAGGCCGATACTGTAGAAACATGCATTTTGTTCCCTTGACCTGACCTTGACCTGACCTCTGACCTACTTCAGCAAAAAAAATTGGGCTCTTTAGATCCGCCTTGTTGAGAGCTTTCGATTGCCATTTTCCCCGTCTTTCTACGACCATCGGTTCGGACGTTAGACAGGGGGCAGAATCTGCCCCCCCCCCTTCTCCCCAGCAGGGCGCGTATGGCTGAATAGCCCAGCATGGTGCGGGTTAATATTCGGCACAGATCGCCATAGCGCATGAATCGGATAAAGCAGGACAATTGATGTTTATTCATTTATTCTTTCGTCAGTACCGCTTTCGGTGGACCATTGCCCGATTTGAGCTCTGCTTTGGTCTACAGCCTTCAAGGATCAAAATGCATGCAGTTGTTCAGCTGTGTCGTCCACTGATAGCAGGTACGTCTGTAGCATGAATGCAGCTGATAATGAGCTAGTGTTACATTTGCATTTCATTTCACACCTATATGTTATAGTGATATATACATTATTGTCAATAACCTATATTCATTCAAACAATCAATATTGCTTCAAGTGCTGTATTTATTTCCTTATCAGATGACAGAGGCGATCTATTTCATGACGTCCGTCTCCCTTTTGAACTAAACAGCAGGCAATCAGTTGTACGAGGAAGACTGAGCCAGAGCAGCGCGCCGGTCGAACTCCATCTGAAAGGCCCTCTTGGCCTCAGCCACCTCGTAGGTGTCCTGGACGGGCTGTGGGGCCTTGCCGAGGGTGTAGGCGGGACGGGGCTGCTGCTGGTAGTACTGAGGCTGCTGCTGGTAGTACTGGGGCTGCGCAGTGTACTGGTGGGTGTCGGGGGCCAGTTCAGCCTCCCTGGCCAGTTTCTGGTACTCCTGCTGGAAGGCCCTCTTGGCCTCAGCCACCTCGTAGGTGTCCTGGACGGGCTGTGGGGCCTGGCCGAGGGTGTAGGCGGGACGGGGCTGCTGCTGGTAGTACTGGGGCTGCGCAGTGTACTGGTGGGTGTCGGGGGCCAGTTCAGCCTCCCTGGCCAGCTTCTGGTACTCCTGCTGGAAGGCCCTCTTGGCCTCAGCCACCTCGTAGGTGTCCTGGACGGGCTGTGGGGCCTGGCCGAGGGTGTAGGCGGGACGGGGCTGCTGCTGGTAGTACTGGGGCTGCTGCTGGTAGTACTGGGGCTGCGCAGTGTATTGGTGGGTGTCGGGGGCCAGTTCAGCCTCCCTGGCCAGCTTCTGGTACTCCTGCTGGAAGGCCCTCTTGGCCTCAGCCACCTCGTAGGTGTCCTGGACGGGCTGTGGTGCCGCACTGACGGCCGCCCCGGCCTGGTAGGACGACACGGCGGGCGGCGGATGGTCGGCGGCGGCTCCCAGAACAGCCACCGTCAGCAGGAGCTGCCGAGCGACGGGTGGCGTCAGCGATACGAGTGGCGTGGAGGTAGTAAGACATCGGGAGACATGGTAAAATGACATGAATGAACGAATGGACAATTGATCGTTATGTTCTTTTTTACAGAAACTGCATAAGACAGGAGGATAAAATAATAAGCACATAAGGCTGCTTGGTGGTTACATTGTAGACAACTTACCACAGTCCGCATCATGGTGGAGTGTAGGAGTGCAGAGTGAAGCAGTGCCGCCGTGGATTGAACAAGTGGTGTCCATCTGATGGCTCGGTGCACATTTATACCCGGGCCGCGGCAGCACTAGTGGCCCGCCCGCTATCATTCCCAACTCCGCCATTGTCCCAGCAGCACCGTTGCTCTGCTTTGAATCGCCTACTTAGCCGGCTCATTGGTGATTGAGAAATAATTACGTGAGCGCTGCTCCCGCGGTCAGACATTATCGACATTTTCGATGAACAAAGCTAATTGTTCTGAGGTATCTATGGCACGTCAATTATAGACGGTTTTTGTTTTTAGATAATGACATTGCACCTGTCACCCACTGTGAAGCTGCTGGTCTTGTAGGTCGATCGTCTGCTGCTCGACGCATTAGATCTCGATTTTTTATCCTGAACTTTTACCTCGCTGCAGAGGCATCACGAAAGCTCTACATAATGTAGAATGAATTATGTGCGAATGAATATCGATTGGCGTGGGGCGGGAATCGTAATCGAGCGATCTGGGCCATTTCTGATATAGAGCTGTTCTCTATCTGAGCTTCTCTGTCGTCTTTTTCTTGTTGATTTTCTTACATTTTTCTCTCTTCCCATGTCCAGTCCAGTGTCTTATATGCTTTTTTAAAGTTGTTCAATGTAAGTACATCATTTGTCAATTACTTTGACCTGACCTTTATGTGACCTTGACACATAGGTACCATGACGTATGGGACCGACATCAATTTCAATGTTTTTTATTACAACCATAAAAGACTGGAAACGCTAGGATAATGTACGGTGACATACGCCGAATCGCGTGCCGGCCGTCTCGAGAAACAGGTCACAGCTGTAGGAGGTCATTTGACTCAGGATCATGAAATTTTCCTCGCGATCGGCCGCTTTTTGCCAGAGTTATTCGCGAAAAAACACGGAGGTCCGTCCGAACAAGCTCCGCCGCCGGGCCGTCTGTACTGCCCACTCCCCCCCCCCCCCACCGTGTGACTGTTTGTCTCCCCTCCCTCCACAGCCGGTCAGCCGTCCGTTCTGTTTCACGCTCCGGTCCGCACGGTCCCGGATTTTCCGTCGAGTTTACAGCCTCTCGGCGCGCTGCTTTTCGACGGATAGGGGTTCGGTCTTTATATGTACAGGAATATATCGGAATGTTGGATATAGAATAGTAAACCTTTTAAACGAATTTGCAGGTGTCTGCTACCAAGTGTCTTGGTATCATTTCTTTTGACGACGAATGTAGTATCGAATGAAGTATCGACAAACAACTGGAAGGTCTGCACATTGTTTCAACCTCACGGGTAGCCGGTTACAGCAGGGTCACCTCAATCGGTAAACAATGACAAACGCTTCGGAGGGAAAAGGCTGGAATTCACCTTTTGAGCCTGAAAACACTTTGAAAGTTTTCTGACTTAAAGGTTTTCCAACTTGTTTTCTATCCAAGACTGTGTTTGTTGTTTTTTCGGTTGAGGTAACCGATGCCTCCATTTCATTCACTCCCCATAAGCGTTGTTCCACAACGTAGTCCCACTGCAAGTCGGTAGTGTTGTCTGTTAGTGCTTACATATATGTAGGTAGGTGGACTTACGCATCTGCATCTTAAGGCTCATCTGTGTTGTTGTTGTTTTTTTTTACTTTTTGGAGCTGTTAGTTCTCGGATCTTATCACCGTTTGTTGTACCTACAAATAATTTCTACCATTCTATTATAAATGCATGGGCACTGTATGACATTATTTCACGAATGTCTCAACAACCGGTACATCCAGAGCAGCCCATTTTATATTGAAAACGGTTTGCAGAGCTCTGCAGGAAAAGACACATACCAATCGGGCGTGTCCTCTGCCCGGGTATAAAGGTGCACCGAGTCATCAGATGGACACCACTTGTTCAATCCACGGCGGCACTGCTTCAGTCTGCACTCCTACACTACATCATGATGCGGACTGTGGTAAGTTGTCTACAATGTAACCACCAAACAGCCTTACATCCTCATTATTTTATTATGCTGTCTTTTGCAGTTTCTGTAAAAAAGGAACATCACCATCAATTGTCCATTCGTTCATTCATGTCATTTTGACATGTCTCCCGATGTCTAACTACCTCCGCGCCACCGGTATCGCTGACGCCACCCGTCGCTCGGCAGCTCCTGCTGACGGCGGCTGTTCTGGGAGCCGCCGCCGACCATCCGCCGCCCGCCGTGTCGTCCTACCAGGCCGGGGCGGCCGTCAGTGCGGCACCACAGCCCGTCCAGGACACCTACGAGGTGGCTGAGGCCAAGAGGGCCTTCCAGCAGGAGTACCAGAAGCTGGCCAGGGAGGCTGAACTGGCCCCCGACACCCACCAGTACACTGCGCAGCCCCAGTTCTACCAGCAGCAGCCCCAGTACTACCAGCAGCAGCCCCGTCCCGCCTACACCCTCGGCCAGGCCCCACAGCCGGTCCAGGACACCTACGAGGTGGCTGAGGCCAAGAGGGCCTTCCATCAGGAGTACCAGAAGCTGGCCAGGGAGGCTGAACTGGCCCCCGACACCCACCAGTACACTGCGCAGCCCCAGTACCACCAGCAGCAGCCCCAGTACTACCAGCAGCAGCCCCGTCCCGCCTACACCCTCGGCCAGGCCCCACAGCCCGTCCAGGACACCTACGAGGTGGCTGAGGCCAAGAGGGCCTTCCAGCAGGAGTACCAGAAGCTGGCCAGGGAGGCTGAACTGGCCCCCGACACCCACCAGTACATTGCGCAGCCCCAGTACTACCAGCAGCAGCCCCAGTACTACCAGCAGCAGCCCCGTCCCGCCTACACCCTCGGCCAGGCCCCACAGCCCGTCCAGGACACCTACGAGGTGGCTGAGGCCAAGAGGGCCTTCCAGCAGGAGTACCAGAAGCTGGCCAGGGAGGCTGAACTGGCCCCCGACACCCACCAGTACACTGCGCAGCCCCAGTACTACCAGCAGCAGCCCCGTCCCGCCTACACCCTCGGCCAGGCCCCACAGCCCGTCCAGGACACCTACGAGGTGGCTCAGGCCAAGAGGGTCTTCCAGATGGAGTTTGACCGGCGCGCTGCTCTGGCTCAGTCTTCCTCGTACAACTGAATGTTTGTCGTTTAGTAGAAGGGAACTGATGCTCATTAAGTGATCTGCCTCTGTTGCCTGCTCGGGAAACAAATACATGTCTAAGCACTGGATTGCCCCTTTTCAACTCTTTTACAGCTTACGTAGCCTTTTATCTCGGCAACCGATAGACTGGTTCATAATCGGTAGACAAGAGACATAGACACTAGAGATTGACATTATGTCATACATTCACCTACATTTTATCATTCCTAACAAAAACATACAAGCGCAATGATATAAATTAGAATGTTGTAAAGATAAAAGGTTCTTGAGATGCAACATACATAGCATGAACAAGAGAATGAGATTAAAAAAAGGCGTAAAAACAACAAAAGCACCGTCTCGTCGCTCTACGCCCGGCGCTCATGATATTTAGCCTGACCATCCCCAGACCACGGACTACGAACCTCACAACCCGTTGTTTCCAGCTGAATTCGCTTATATACCTACATATGTGATTGGAATCATCTGCTTTGATTTTTAACAGTTTGCCGCTTTTCGTCCTTTCCGGTATGCGACAGCAGATAACCGTCCACATGATTCGATCATGATTAATATAAATATTTTCTTACGTAGGTATACTTTTTACTTTTTGGTCGTCGTAGCGGCACTGGCCTCGGTTCAGAGGTCGCATATAACAATTTGTTCCACCAACAATAACTCCCAAAGTACTGGGCTGATTGCACTGAAACTTGACGTATAGGTGGACCAAAGAGCGTTTGTCGCTGAGGCGCCCTAAAACCTATACCCCATGCGTATACGTGGGCACTGGGCAGTGGGCATCCACTCTGGCGATGCATGTTTATGTGTGGGGGGTGGAGGGGGGGGGGCTACTGCACGTGCTCGCTTTCAGGTCAGGGATTGCTTCCAACTAAGAACGGCTGGACCGATTACGCTCAAATTGAGTTAGCCGCTGGAGACCGACTAGAGGGCTGGCCAGTAACTATATGTATGATAGGTCAGTGGGGGTGTCTCACCTTGCCACGTGTGCCAGTGCAGGGTGTCGCTTCCATACCTCAAGAGTGGGTTGCAGTTAGATTCGCTGCATCACTGGAGACCATCTAGAATGGTGGCCCGCACAGCACAGGTCATGTTAGGGTCTCGCGTCGAGTCCCAGTGGAACAACGGACTGCAGTGATGGAATCCGGTTCCGTTTATCCGGTTTTGCAGTTAAGCCCGTACCTAACCCCTCAGCGCACATACACAGGGAAATTCCGTAGCACACCAGCCCACGAATCTCTAGTAGCATGATTTACCGTAAACTTGGCGGCACGCTCCCTATGTGCGGCCTGAAAATATAAAAGAACCGCGCGGCGCGCGACCCGTGCATTACTCGGATGTCTACGGCATTGCGGTACAGTCTAACTCCCGGGCGCTCACCCGTGCTGCCATCTATCGGGAGTTTCAGTAACTACTGAACGGTCATGAACGCGTCGGGGACTGGAGTAGTCTCAGGCCTTTGTAGCCTGTTTGGACTGCTGCCGGCGGGGAAAACAGGAATATTCAATGGGAACGTGCCAGTCTTGTTGATTCGGAACGTTCTATCCTTATGAATTGGAACGCGCAGACTCATAAAGCATGATTGTCGCCAGGCCCGTTCGACCGTGAGTGGAGAAGATGTCAATAGGACTCTGTAGTCCCTCCCATCCCGCATGGCGACTGCTGAGAAGACGAATTGCGGAAAAGCTCTCAAAGGCTAGTTGCTATCTCTGCTGATTGAAGTCCTGCGCTTCGTAGGGCTATCGGCGGACCCTACCACCCGTAGTTCGCCCCCCTAAGAACTCGAAAAGTTACCGGCCAATTTTCAAAATTCAAACGGCGTTCGATAGATCCGCCGGGAAACTACCTTGTGACCCAATTTCATTCACCTCGGTTTTACCGATGACGTCACAGGCCAGGTTAAAGGTCGCATTTTCGCCGTTTGCAGTCATTTCAAGAAATGTGTGGTAAAATCGAGCAAAAGGCACGCTATAGAAAATCATCGATGGAGAGTTGTCCGTCAAACACAAATATTTTGCTATTTGAGGTCACTGATACCAGGTCAGGTCACAGAGGTCACGTCACTGAGGGTCAAAATATGAAAGTGTCTTGTGATGCATGTTTCATAGTCCATTTTACATGACAAATGCGATTATGTGGGTCAGGCAGCCTTTGGAGCCAGTTTAGGTTATGTTCTGGTGAGAGTTAGGTCACGGTCAGGTCAAATTAGTTCAAAGTTCAAAAATGGTATTTTCTTGTATTTGAACGTTGTGCTGAGCATTGTTAATAAGATTATTAGAATGATGAAGAATAACCTGTTGCTCATTTCTATCAGAAATAGAAAAAATAAACCAATAGAATTGCGATATTTTCTGATAGAAATGAGCAACAGGTTTTTCTTCATCATTCTAATAAATGGTATTTTGCATAAAATGGGTATCGAATCGATGCAGCTCGTCACGGGGGGTCTAATGGTGGTCTTTGTTTTGCGCTACGTGGTCTGGAATTGCTAAAAAATGAGTTTGAATATTTGACGTCATTAATTTTGAACAGTATTTCGCTATAACGTGGCCAAAAAAGAGGCATCGATCTCAAATTTCGTATGTGGATATAAGATGGTAGGCACTATCATATTTGTTCATTGTTTTCGAAATTCAAAAATTTGGGATTTTTAGGCTATTGTAAAAAAAAAAAACTTTTTTGATTTTTAGGGGTCTAAGTCCAACAATTTCAAAAATTGGAGATAGCGGTTTATAGCCCTGTAAATTCTACACGTTTTATATCTTGATTTTTTTATGTATCTTCAAACCTGTAGTCCTGCTCCTGACAGCTCTTCCCGCAAAACCTTTTTTCGGTGGAAAATGTCAGAGCATGCCGTCATTCTAACGTCATTTGTGGTCAACCTATCATAGCCTCTGGAAGTTGTTTGGTCGCAATGTGTAAAATTGGTGCCTGGAGGGTTCCTGAAGTTGAAGTGGCGATATCTGCAGTCGTTCACGAGATACCAACGGAAAAGGACAGGGGGTGTACCTATTATCGCACCTATTTCATACTATGCACAATTAGCGCAGTTCCAGCTCCGTAGGTAGTTAACCAGCTCAAACATTTCGTTCGTTAGCACTTAGCAGCAATCAGCTAAGAGCTAGAATTCCATTGCTTAGTTTGTACAAAATTAATCGCACTACAGTGAACTCGTTGTTGATTACTAAATTGATGTTCCTTCATTGGTAGATATGTCGTCATCTGTTGAGTGCACACTGCACAGGGTGGCGCGACCTTCAACTGACTTGACTGAATCAACGTTTATTTCACACAATTTTCCACTTCAAATGCATGACCATTGAACAATGCCCATTGCCTATCAATTGACAAATGTCTCAACAACCGGTACCTACATTTAGAGCAGCCCGTTTTATATTGAAAACGGTTTGCAGAGCTCTGCAGGAAAAGACACATACCAATCGGGCGTGTCCTCTGCCCGGGTATAAAGGTGCACCGAGTCATCAGATGGACACCACTTGTTCAATCCACGGCGGCACTGCTTCAGTCTGCACTCCTACACTACATCATGATGCGGACTGTGGTAAGTTGTCTTCAAAGTAGCCACTAAACGACCTTATATACCCATTATTTTCATCCCGTATCGTAGCTTCAAAATGAAACTTCTGTTCAATGACTGAGAGCATCCATGTTTATTGCTCATTCATTCATTCCTGTCATTTTGACATGTTTCCCGATGTCTGACTACCTCCGCGCCACCGGTATCGCTGACGCCACCCGTCGCTCGGCAGCTCCTGCTGACGGCGGCTGTTCTGGGAGCCGCCGCCGACCATCCGCCGCCCGCCGTGTCGTCCTACCAGGCCGGGGCGGCCGTCAGTGCGGCACCACAGCCCGTCCAGGACACCTACGAGGTGGCTGAGGCCAAGAGGGCCTTCCAGCAGGAGTACCAGAAGCTGGCCAGGGAGGCTGAACTGGCCCCCGACACCCACCAGTACACTGCGCAGCCCCAGTACTACCAGCAGCAGCCCCAGTACTACCAGCAGCAGCCCCGTCCCGCCTACACCCTCGGCCAGGCCCCACAGCCCGTCCAGGACACCTACGAGGTGGCTGAGGCCAAGAGGGCCTTCCAGCAGGAGTACCAGAAGCTGGCCAGGGAGGCTGAACTGGCCCCCGACACCCACCAGTACACTGCGCAGCCCCAGTACTACCAGCAGCAGCCCCGTCCCGCCTACACCCCCGGCCAGGCCCCACAGCCCGTCCAGGACACCTACGAGGTGGCTGAGGCCAAGAGGGTTTTCCAGCAGGAGTACCAGAAGCTGGCCAGGGAGGCTGAACTGGCCCCCGACACCCACCAGTACACTAAGCAGCCCCAGTACTACCAGCAGCAGCCCCAGTACTACCAGCAGCAGCCCCGTCCCGCCTACACCCTCGGCCAGGCCCCACAGCCCGTCCAGGACACCTACGAGGTGGCTGAGGCCAAGAGGGCCTTCCAGCAGGAGTACCAGAAGCTGGCCAGGGAGGCTGAACTGGCCCCCGACACCCACCAGTACACTGCGCAGCCCCAGTACTACCAGCAGCAGCCCCGTCCCGCCTACACCCCCGGCCAGGCCCCACAGCCCGTCCAGGACACCTACGAGGTGGCTGAGGCCAAGAGGGTTTTCCAGCAGGAGTACCAGAAGCTGGCCAGGGAGGCTGAACTGGCCCCCGACACCCACCAGTACACTGAGCAGCCCCAGTACTACCAGCAGCAGCCCCAGTACTACCAGCAGAAGCCCCGTCCCGCCTACACCCTCGGCCAGGCCCCACAGCCCGTCCAGGACACCTACGAGGTGGCTCAGGCCAAGAGGGCCTTTCAGATGGAGTTTGACCGGCGCGCTGCTCTGGCTCAGTCTCCCTCGTACAACTGAAGGATGGCTGCTGAAAGATGACTGTTTGTTGCAGTGTTCCCGTGGATGAAATAAAGCGTATTTCGTTGTTTTATGTCATGTGTAGTTATTTGGTTGTGACAGGTGGCCGTGGGTGTACAAAATCGTTCTCAAATGTTTTTTATTTTTCACGGCGACAGGCCAAGAGCCAATCCCGACCTTAGTACCTTTGCGGCATTACTGTTCGTCTGATGGGAGCATAGTGCGCAGGGCCTCGCTTCGTTCACATCGCACTCGCACGAACAATTTAAGGCTAATCGGTCTGAGTTAAACGTCTTAAAGTGGCACCGTTGTGTAAAAGTATGAGATGCAAAGTTGTTGCATTGCAAAAGTTGTTCGCCTTAGGTCGGCCGAGGTCCCCTCCTGAATGAAACCCAAGGGCCTAGAACGGCGCAGTGCGTTTCTCTGGGCCATGCGAGGATTGTAAATTCGCCGGGCCTGGTCCCACCGGAGAAGCGCACTTGATTTATCTCCATTTAGAGTTGATGAGTCGCTCACGCCAGTGTCCTGCCAATTACAGACCGGAGGAAGTACCCTCATGTCCTGCCACTCACAGACCGGTTAATTAGGGAGCAGCTGACCTCATGGACCTCATATTCCCGCCTCACGATCCAACAAACCCTGCACTCAGGATAGTGTGCAACATTTATTTGTACAGCTTTAAATAACATCTACGGTCAATGTATCCAACGAAGGTATTTTACAATTGAGACAACGCAACACAGCACGCATACCTGATTGCAATGCAATGTTTAAAACTTCAATGAGCGAAAGACAATACGTTCAGTTAGACAGTGCTGACTGGGAATAATCCAGGTACTCATCGTGTATGAGAATGAAATAAGCGCTGTACACAACCAAGCATGAACTGAAACAACTCATGATGACTATCACAAACGACACTATACGGGTCAGCGGCGGCGGCGGCGCGGCCGGGAACGCGCACAGTCCCGGCTCTCTATTATCGGTACACACGGATATATGGCTCAGACGGCGGCGGCGGCGCCTCTGCCGCGAACACGGCGCCATCCGGCGGACGGCGCGCTAACTACAGTTACTCGGAGCGGCCGCCGGGCGGCCCCGACGATCCGCCACAAACCAATACTGGGCGGTCGTCGCGCGGCGCCCGGCCGGCCGCTCCCCGGCCCTGTGGCCTACCCGCGGCCGCCGGGGAGCGCTCCTGTACCGACGGGTCGCAGCGGCCCGCAGTCGGCGCGTTACAGTAAATCCCACCCTCCTCGGGTCCGCACATACCCTCACCCACCCACCCACACACTCACACACCCACACACAGGTCAGCACACACCAGAAACACGTATACGGCCCGACCGGGCGACCCACTCTGTATGAAGATATGAAACGGGTCGCGGCTCGGCGCCGGGCGGCTGCCTCCGCCGCCGGCGCTCACGAAGCTGACTCGGGGCTAGGAATCGTTGGCGGGCCGGTCGGCGGCACGGGAGGAGACCAGGGGGATAGGGGGTCACGGCGACGGGTCGGGGTCGGGGGGGGGGGGGCAGAGCGGCGGGCGGCGCGCTCAGTTGGCGCCGCTGTCCACCGTGTAAATGTTAATGCCGTGATCCTTGAGGATGAAGAGCCGCTTCTCCACGGCGTCTTTGTCTGCGGGAGAGAGGGCGGGAGGTGGTCAGTGCTCTGCCCTCAGACGGGCGGGGCGGGGGCAGACCTGCCGACTGGTATATACAGCAGTACGTAACTATACAGAGTTTCACAGAGCCCCGTTCAGCGGTGGGGACACAGAGCCCGGTACAGGTACAGGCTACACTGCGCACAGACACAGGAAGGAGATCAGCAGGGGCAGACGGTGCAGCACAGTGGCCGCCCCCGCCCCGCCCTGTCCCTGTCCCAGAGGGTACTCACAGCGCTCGAGGGCCTTGCGGTCGTGGTCACACTTGGTCTGCTGTGAGAGCGCGTGCAGCAGGATGTGCGCCGTCTGGTAGCGGTGGAAGCACTCGTTGGGATTGCCGAACAGCTCATCGAGTGCCGCCTGCTGGCACTGCAACGGCCGGGGGACACCGGAGGTCAGCGGAGGGTCACCAGGGATCAGCGGAGGTCACCAGAGGTCACCAGAGGTCAGCGGAGGGTCACCAGAGGTCACCAGAGGTCACAGTGGCGTCGATAAGCTGGCGGACGAGACTAGCGAAATTTCACGAAAGATTAAAATGGAGAGTCCTGGGCCAGTCTGATGATATTCTCTCTCCACCCTTGCTATTCTGGCGCCCGCGTCAGCCGAGAGGGCGTCGCTCTCATTTGGCTGGTGGCAGCCACTCAGCTTGGCTGGCGGCCGCTCACCACGAGCCCGCAGCGTGCCGCGACCCGTCAGAGACAGCAGTGACGTCACCGCCGACGGTGACGTCATCCGTTCACCTTGAGTCGCCGCCAGCCAGTGACGCACGGCGCCCTCCACACAGATCGAATCACATCAACAAAACACCGGCCCGGCCGATATGTGGCGTCACTGGGCTCAAAGAACACCATCGACACCAGGGCAGCTGCTGACGATATATCTACCCGTACCCGCAACATTTTTAAGTCCCAAATCGTCAGAAAATAAATGTTTACGATGAACAAAATCAAAATTCGATGTTTTCCAGCATGTATCTGGACTCGCCCGTCACTCAGCCTCCCTATTCCCCGGGCAGAGCTGCGGCCAGGCGCCGTGGACACAGAGCTGCGGCCCGGCGCGGTGGACACAGAGCTGCGGCCGGGCGCCGTGGCCGTACCATTTCGATGGCGTGCTCGTAGATGAGTTTGTCGGCCTGCACGTGGCACGAGAACACGTCGAGGCCGGACTTTTCGACCACGTTGCCCTGGTTGAGGTGCTGGCAGGCCTGCAGACAGCGGCGGAACGTGTCGTTCATCTGGTGCAGCACTGAAACAGACGGGACCGGCGGACGGTCAGACACCGCGGAGCAGCCACAGTCAGAGGCGGCCTTCACCGCCCTCATCGGGCAGTCGTGGTGATGGACAGGACGGCGCGACTGTCCAGGGCTCTACTCCGGACCGGGACTGGCGGACCCCCCCCCCCCCCCGTCCTTGTCTTCCCCCAGTTCATCACGGATCGATACGGAACCGACCGCTCCGCTATCAAAGCTCGGGGACATCCAACTGGTCGGTCAGAAGAACGGCACACTGTACTGAGACGACAGACACCGAGGCATCCTATATCGACAGTCAGATAAGCCACTGCTCCTATCCTCCCAGTCTGGCTGGCTACGGGTCACCTCTGACCACCTCCCGCCGGTAACGGCCACCGAGCCGCGGCCGGGCGGCCGGCGCCCGTTTGAGAACCCCTGAACATGACGCCGCGCCTGTCATGATTAGATAAATACGGCGGCTATCCCCCCCCCCTGATCAGCCGGGAAGGTCAGCAAGGGGGGGGCTAGAGTAGCCGCATCGCCGCCCCGACCGGAGACGTCGGCTGACCTTCAGAGACACCCGCTGCGCACGGGGTCACAGAGGCCGGCGGCGCGCTGGGTGCGGGGATACAGAGGTCGCGCCGTCACCACACCGTGAACCGGCCGGCTGGTCACTCACTGGATGACAACCCGAACAAAGACGGTTAAAAAGGAATCGCCAGCTGGAGCGACAGGAAGGTCAGCTCTATTTCCATTTCGCCGCTCTTTGTTCACGTTTTGAATTTGGAATTTGATTCATCAGTCACTGTCGCAGCTACATTCTGCTGCCGTTTCTGGCTGAATGACGATATATTTTTACATGCAGTGGAAGGATTCCGAGCATCAGGTTGAAGGACGAGATTCTTCCGAATGTAACTAAGTAGTCGGATCTCAATCATTAACTGCAGTGCCAACGTGCCTTTTAAAGAGCGATTAAGGCAATGAATATTGCTACAAAATGACACCAGACCACCAGGCTGTCGAGAATGTTTGTATGAATATTATGGTAAGTTAAATTTCCTGGACTAGCTGAGCCGAACGCTTTGAGAAAAGACAGCAGTACATCATCATCCGTCACAATCGCATCTAACTTTGTCAGCAATGTTGGCCCTCATCCGTACGATGCCCGTGCCGGTTCGAGCCACCACCCATCCAGTCCCGTCACCGAACGTTGACCGCTGATTCACCGTCACGGTCGGACCGGTGTCTCGGTAACGAGTGTCACCCTGCCAGCCGGTCCCCGCGGGTACCGTCCGCGCCACCTGCCGCCACTGGAGCGGACAGACGGCCGCCCTCCACTGGTCAGCTCGGAGCGGACAAACGGCCGCCCTCCACTGGTCAGCTCGGAGCGGACAGACGGCCGCCCTCCACTGGTCAGCCGGCCCGCTCGGAGCGGACAGCCGGCCGCCCTCCACTGGTCAGCCGTCACTGGAGCGGACAGACGGCCGCCCTCCACTGGTCGGCCGCCCCGCTCGAAGCGGACAAACGGCCGCCCTCCACTGGTCAGCTCGGAGCGGACAGACGGCCGCCCTCCACTGGTCGGCCGCCCCGCTCGGAACGGCCGGCCGGCCGCCCTCCACTGGACAGCCGGCCCGCTCGGAGCGGACAGACGGCCGCCCTCCACTGGTCAGCTGTACCGCACAGAGCGGACAGCCGGCCGCCCTCCACTGGTCAGCTCGGAGCGGACAGACGGCCGCCCTCCACTGGTCGGCCGCCCCGCTCGGAACGGCCGGCCGGCCGCCCTCCACTGGACAGCCGGCCCGCTCGGAGCGGACAGCCGGCAGACCACCAGAGTCACTGACAGCAGTCGCCAGACCGGCACAGTGGACCGACCGGTCCGAGCCCAGTCTTTGTTGTCTGCCGGTGGTCGTGGCGCCGGGTGGTCCGGTCTGCCTGACCCGGCCCTGGTGAGCCCAGTCTCTTGACTCAACCCCGTCCGTCGTTTCCAGCCTCAGGACAATCAAATCCTTATCCGCCACGCGGCGACCCTCGATTCGGGCTGGACAGGCATCTTTATCTCATGCGGGCTGCTCCCTTGGAGCGGCACGCTGCTCCCGAGGGAGCGCACCCCGTAGCCGGGTGCAGTGAGTACTGGTCTGCCTGTCCTTTGAGACGGGCTCAGCCCCGGTGGCTCACTAGGGTG